CGGACTAGGTCGCGAACGAAACACTGTGCAGCAGAGTTCCAGCGGCCTCCTATCTCGGAGCCCAGGACCAGGAGCTTCTGCGGGCCGCCCCTTGCGAGATGCGAGGAATTTGCACAAGTCAAGGAAGACCCTGTGGCAAAATACAAATTCCACAGCCTTCGGCTGCGAATTGAGTCTTCGCATATGCAGGGCTCGAGGCGTCAGCTCCCTGGTCGGCTTGATCGGGACTGCCCAACAGCAGCACGAGCCTCGCCCAGGCCGGTCGAGCGACGACGCGAAATCGCCTGCACGCGTGCACGCAAAGGCAAACCTTCACGCGCCCGCCAAGTCCTGACCACTGCAGCCTTCGCGAAACCAGGAGGGGGAGTGCACCTGGCCTGTCCGGCGCACGCGCTGAGCACTACATACTCTTGTTGGCCATGCAAATGACATGGAGTTGATAGCGGAGGCAGCCAATTTGCTGGCGCCAGCAGAAGTCCCACATGACATTGCAGAAGGCGTCGCGTTGACCCCCGTTTGCGCTCCGCACCCGAGTGGGAGTGGATGCGCTGTCGGCCCGACTCCGCGCAACCCTTGAAAACTATGCTCGAGCCACCGTTGTCTCGCTGGATGGGCGCAATGCTTACGACTGCATCTCCCGGGCTTCGTTTCTGCGCAAGCTGCGCGAGGTGGCACCCGCACTCGTGCCTTTTGCACGCGTTTTCTACGGGCAGACTTCGGAATACCAGTGGTGGGACGACGGCGGTGTCCGCCACGGCATACCGGCCAACACGAGGCATTACGCCGGGCAGACTCACAGTTGCGACAGGGCGAGTCGCTCATGGCGCTTCTTACGTTGCATTGCCCGAGCCAACCCGAGCGCGCGCCGCCTTGGATCTGGTGTGATGGTGACAGGCACGATCGCGACGCACACGGGCCTTTCCGCCAACTTGGGAAGGACGCGCATCGGGCGCCGAAACACTCGAAACCGAAGATGCGTTGCTCCGCCAGCTTCCCAAGTTGCTTGACATGCAATGCGCGTGGCTCCTCCTCAGCTTCTGCGCCGCGCCCCGCGCTAACCACGCGCTCCAGCGCCATATGCTGCGGCACATGACGCAGCCCTTTGCGGCACCATCCAGTCTTGCTTGGGAGCCACCGCGGAGGACAAGGCATGCCCCGCTAGGGACATCGCTTTACTTCCGGCTAGCCTGGGTGGCTTGGGGCTGTCGCAGGCCACACGCACCGGCCCTGCAGCGTACTGGGCGGCCTGACCCGATGCCCTCGCTGTGCTCCGCGAGAGGTGCCCGGCCTTTACGAAGTGGCCTCGCTGACGCGCGTGGACCAGCATGCCTGAGAACAGCCTGTGCGGCCCGCGGGATGCTTTGCAGCCGAAGGTTGGACAGACGTGCCTTCTTGTGAGCTCCTGGCGCAAGGAGCACGTCCGCCTCACCGACCTGAAGGGACCACCGAGCCCGGTGAATGGAAGCACGGGTGGCAACACTGTGCGTCGCGTACACGACACCTTTTCTTCCCTAGGGACCCGGCGCGAAAAGATCACCCTCATCGACTCCTTCGGCTTGCACGATCTCGCCACGGCGTCCGGCGTCGTCCCACCAGGGGTAGGTGGACGTACGCGCGCACATGGCTCGCGCAAAGGGCAGCAGTGACGTGACGGCATCGCGGAACTTGGCGAGGATGGTCGCGCGACTGATGGTGTCGTAGGCGATTTGGACTGGTGGAAGTGCGCCATTGTATTTTTTTGTATAAGGACCTTTCCATACCTTTCCGCATGTTTGAGCCTGGAAACACTTTTTGGCAACTTCAAATGCAAAAACATCGGAAGGGAGTGGGGGAAACCCCCACCACGTCCATTAAACAGCCTTACTTTTTTTACCAAGGGTCGAAGAGGTCCCGGTGAACCAGGCTGGGAAGCTGCAGACTACGGTGGGCCGTGGCAAATGCAACGCACAGGCATGGGCGAGCCGAGCCGGCAAGCGACTGTCCGGCGCCACGAGCCAGCGTGCATCAGCCAAGACCCCGTGCAAAGCAGGCGGCTCGCCGCCGGGCCCGCGCCAAGAACGACATAGATTCTTGAAGTTCTGGCCGATGTCAATGCGGAAGCACCTTTCTTCCTTCCACAGTGAGGTATGTTCACGGGTTTTTTTTCTCCCACCCACCTTTTCACGACAATCCAGTATGCAGTCAGGGCGACACCCTACTGCAGTGAAGGAGAAGTCCAAGCCTGAGGAACGGGAATGCACGCTCAAGGGAGGCGACTGGCGATGGGTGGCGGCTCAGCAAAGTCAGCGAGGACATCACTCAGGAAGGGAGCGTCTCTGTCAACGTTGGCAGTGCCACACAGCGGGAAAGAGAGAAGGCTGACGGCAAAGGACCGAGCAGCGGCGAAGGACAGCAGCGCGGACCAGCACAAGCGAAGGCAGATGCGGTCGCTGCCCGCGTGGCGATGGTGCAGAGCGAGCTCGGCTTTAGGCCAGCAGTCTGACGAACTCAACGGCCTTTGAGGAACACCGCCCCCCAACCTCAATGCCGAGGACAACCAATCGGCACCGATTGCCTTGCGCGAGTTCGGGATAAGTCCGTGCCTTAGCGCGTTCGGCGACCCTTAAAGCTGCACCGGCAGTGATGCCTCTGTCACGGCGCGGCATCCCAGCTGCCGTGAGGGGCGACACCAGGGTTGTGTCGACAGCGAGCTGCGCTCCGCCCCACAAAGACAGGCCGTCAGCAATGACTTCAATGCGCCGCTCGTCCGGCCGAGCGGGGGCAACGTAACATTGAGCTGCATTCAGTGTTTTGTGTACTCTTTTCCGCACACCATTCTGCATCCACGACCGGTCGGACCGAATCCACGTCTACCCACCTGCACGAGGGCCCGCACCCATATGAGCATGCAACCGTCGCTGTGGGCAGCCATCTTATGCTAGCGCAGCGGGAGGCGGCTGGCAGCGACGCCCCGCTGCCAACACTCGTCGGTACGGATCTTGTGGAGGTCTGCGGCGGTGCCTCACAAAGCTCACTGGCTGCAGGGAGCTCAAGGAGAGAAGCAGCGTATGCCGGTTGAGCTACGACGGCTAGGACACCAGCACGCGACCCACGGATCAGCTGGGTAGCAAAACCTGCCGCCAACCTCGACGCCAACAATGACGCCTTGTCGTACGCTGTCGGGATCAAGGTAAGTGTCGCGCCGTTTGCGTTTGGCTTTGGCCAAAAGTCGACCCGCGGCTGGCGGCGAAACGATGGTAGAATCGAGCGTGAGCCATGCCACGGCGGAAGGCCGGTATGTGGCGCTCGTCGGCACCAAGCACATAGATTCATATTCGCCGGCCGCACATGGTGCACACTCACGGCAAACAAGGGCGACGGCGTGCGTGCTCGAGCGGCAGGGCTCGAGTGGGGTCGCCAAACGCATCGACCTCGAACGATTGAGGTGCCACCACTCTCGCGCCGTGATCACCGCCTGCCGGGCCCACAGTCCAGACGGCTGTGCGACGCAGCAAACACTGCCACATTTCGAAGGTCAAGCAGCCAGGCAGGTAAAGGAGGACGCTGTGCAGTCCGGTGCAAGCTCCATGGGTTCTTACAAGGCACATGGTCGGGGGGTTGCGTGCCAGCACTGCAAGCTTGCAAGAGGCTGCTGATCCAGCAAACAGAAAGGTGTCGAAGCGCAGCTCTCGCGTGCTCAGGGCACTTGGACTCTGAATGACTCTGGGGGGGTTCGGCTCAGCGAGCCCAGGGCTTTGCCAACCTCGGCACAGGCCCGACGCTGTGGATCCTAGAGAGAGGATCGCAAGCCGTGTGATCCGGTGAAAGAGCCGCGGGCGCTTCTTCCGGGAACAAGGGTTCATGTACGGCGACGTAAACGATCAGAGAAGTTCCATTCCGGCATTCGCTGGCCTAGTAGAACAAACTGTAGAACCATACAGGGAAAGCAAGAACGGAAAAACCAACATTGCGAGCTCTGTAAAGGATCTTTCTCCATAAAGCCTTGCTGCCTGGAGTGCTTGGGAGCTAATTGAATGGTGAGACTTTTGTCCTTAAATGCCGAGGAAACAAGGCGAGCCCGAAGCTCAGACCTCGGCAGGCGTGTGCTCCAAGCGCTGCAACAAAAACACCCGGAGCAGAGGCGCACCGATCGACTTTCTTCATGCGAAACGGCCTCACAGGGAGTTCAAAGGCACGGCTCGAGCTGCGCTTGCGTCGAGGCAGCGCTCCTCTGGCCGGGAGAAGAACTCTTGAACGCCCCGCTCGTTCATGATTTCACTCCTCGGGCTGACATGTACAGGCACAGGACCAGAGCAAGCGGAAAGAGCACCGAAAGACAAGCAAGCCTAAGCAAAAGGCCTAGGGCCTACATGGCACGAGAGCATCGAAAAGTGACAGCGCGACTTTGCTGGGAACAACCTGGACCGCAGTGCCTCACGAAGGCTTCGAACGAATACATGCGACATGCTCTCGATGCAGCGATCGAAACAAGCACCTAGCCTAGGCAAGACCGACATCCGCCGCTAAAACAGGTGCGCAGTATCTGCTTCTTTACCTGCAATGCAACTACCTTCTTCTGCGCGGGAAACACAGCAGCAGCAGCAGCAGCAGCAGCAGCAGCAGCAGCAGCAGCAGCAGCAGCAGCAGCAGCACGCAGTAAAAGTGGGAACAACAGCACCGAACACTCCACTAAACGCTCCGCTGACGGGAATACGACCGTAATCGTAAGGCTCACACGATAGAACGTGAGCGACCTGGTCGGTCAAGGGCGACATAAAACGCGATCTTCACAGCTCGGGCGTGTGACTGCAGGGCCCGCACCATGTTGCCGGTCCGACTTAGCCTCGCTCTGTCGCTCAGATGCCCCCACCTGGTACCATTCTCCGGGGTAGATACACGGGCAAGCTTTTGCAAGCCGCATCCCAAATACGGCCTCGGCATCTTGAAGGAGCTAGCCGCGGCCTGAGGTGGCAGCTGGTAGCTTGGCCTACTCGGTCTACTTCCTGATCGGCAGACAGGCCCAAGGCAGCTGCTGAATCACCGTACGACCTCGCTGCCTGCTGTTTTCCATGTACGCCATGGAACCTGAGAGAAAATTCAAGAAACTCACTTTGTCTGCATGCAGCATCTTGAGGTTGCAGCATGCCCTCGCCTCAGCTGGGCAACATACAGCGGACATCAGCTTCGTAGCCCACAAACACCGCTCCAGTGCCGCACCTGTCGGCTGGAGGTCTGCCTGCCGGCAACCAAGCACGCTACTCCGCCAGCGAAAATGTGTGTGTGTGTGTAAAGGACATACAGCCAACACAGCTTGTATCTAGAATCTAGAGTAACCCCTCGAGGAAATTCATCCGTGAGTGCAGACAACACTTTCTCAGTGTCCCTGTATGTCTGTCTCTCTGTGTGTCTCTGTGTGGGGGGGGGTGCGTGTGTGTGTGTGTGTGTGTGTGTGTGTGTGTGTGTGTGTGTGTGTTTGTGTGTTTGTGTGTGTGTGTTTGTGTGT